CCACTTTTATCATTGCTTTGAAACCACCTGTGTGGTTCGAGCCAGAAGAAAGAGATGTCAACTACATCAATGGAGCTGGTTATCAAGGTCAGAGGTTTGGTAATCAGCAATGGTATCAGAAAAATGATTCCCAGAGGCCGTTTCAGAGTAAAAACTACGAAAGGAATTATGGTTCTTCTTCTTATCAGATGACTCCTGCTCAATCTTAAGATAGTAAGATGGAGTCTATATAATGACCCACACAATGGCTAAGCAGAGGCCAAGGCAAAGACTCGTTGATCGGCCTGATCATTTGGATAGTTTTAGTTGAAAACCTAGTAAGCACCTCAGTGACTCAGCAGTGTGCTATGCTGCTTGGTGATGGAGCAGTGTGCTTACTACAGCCATGGGTAGACCGTGGGTTAGCTTGTGCCTAGCATGTGCCAATGATGTGGTCACATGTGCGGACCACACGCCAGCGTATGTCGGCCACACGCATGGTCAAGTGCACCCTCACCGCCATGTGTCGCATTTTGGGCAGTGATGGGTGGGAGCAGCTTGGGCGTGACCTGTCCTGCTGCTTACCTGCTTACCCGCGCTTTGTCGCCATGTGTCGCATTCTGGGCAGTGATGGATGGGAGGCCGGCCAGACCCAGTAAGCAGAACACGCGAAATCTCTTCCCTTATCCGATCATAATTACTTTCCACCACAAACCATAGAGCAGTTCGACGCGAGCCTTACCGAACAGTTTTGGGAAAACTTAGGTAAGTATCCCTAATCCGAAATCTTTCCTTCCCGACTTGTTTTTTCGTTCTGGTCATGATTCTAATCTTGGTTTTTTGATCAATTGACTGGAACCACGTTAAAACGTGGGTTCAATTTTTATTAGGTTTCTAAGGAACGAGAATTTCTGCGAGCAAGTCGTGGTCCGTTCTGATCCGATCTGGGTGAGATCCGTGAGCTTTCTCCCTTAGATTTTATTGCTTAAGAACGTGAAGGTTGATTTTATAACTAGGCTGACTTGTTATGCAGAATTCTAGTTCGAGTCTAAGGCAAACCGAGAGTAAGAAACTTTGGGCAAAACCGCGATCGTTCACCAAGTTAAGGTGAGTCTCGGTGATGCTTGTCGCATGTTTAATTGATTTGCAAGTGAGGTTCGTTGCTGTGTGATTAATATTTTTGCTAAGTAATGCTTAAAAGCTTTTGCATGTGAAAATTACTAAGTTGGATTGTTGATGCAT